TCTCAGTGTTAAATCTTTACTGTTAGATGTGTGAATCATGGAAATTCTGTAAAAAAAAAAAAAAAAAAAAAAAAAAAAAAGGACATACACCTGTGTGTGGTAGTGGGGATGATGGATGACAAGGAGGAAGAAAGTGGCAAAAGGGAGAAAAAGGAAACATAACTTGTGCACTGCTTGTAAATATAATGGCTTTAGCTCATTTATCAGAAGAAACAGAATAACATGATACAAAGTAAACAACCATAGGAAAAGATTTTAGCTGATCATTAGTAACTACTTGCTAACTCTCTTTAACTAGAATAGAGACTAAGATATTATTTTCCTCACGGAAAAGAAAGGTACAAGTCAAATGAGGTAATACACATGAAAGCAATTTATCTGGATGAAGCAAAATTACACTAAGGCAAGCTAAATTTTGGCAAAACCACATTTATCAAATTTTAAGATATGCATAACCTTTAACCCAGAATTTCTATTTCTAGGCAGGTATTCCAAAGAAATTCTCAAACATTTGCATAAAAACTTAGTAAATAAGAGTGAATATTCAGTGAAACTTTGCAATAATGAAAAATTGTAAACAATCTAAATTTCTATCATTGGGAGGATAAATAAATTATGGTATATTCTATGACTATGCAGTGGTTAAAAGGAATGAGGTAGATCTATATGTATTGATAAGGAAACATCTCTAAAATAGAAATTGTTCAATAAAAAAATAATCTAAGTCACACAGCTAGGTCTACTTTATCACAACTCTATACATGCAAACATTAATAAATACAAAACCACTACCATATGTTTGTGTTTATATTCATGTATTTAAATGCACAGAAAAAGTCTGAAAGCATACACATTGAATGATTAATAGTGAATTCCTCTGGCAGAGTAGCAACCAAGACTGGGAGGGAGAAAGGGTTTTTGTGTATGAAGCAGACGTCCACTTTTAACTCTAGAAACTTATATTGTTGATTTTATTTTCACTAAAATAAATGAATATATTACTTGGGTCATATAAAACAAAATTAAAAGATATGGCATTCAAAATTTGTAACTGTAACTTCCCCATCTCTTTGATTTCGTGCTTCCTCTATTTCATCTTCACCATTAGTCCCACCTTCACAGCCCTTTTTCCCTGCATCAGCCTTTATTGTTATATTTGGGTCTTGGTCAGGGACTAAATTATTTTTCCTCTCTCACCGTATCCCAGATTTGCAGTTTGATTTGTTTCCCATCAATGTTGACCATACGAGCTCCAAACTCCACACCTGTCGGTGAAGACCAAGAGAAAGAATGTGATTCTCCTGAACAACAGCCATGTTCATTGAGAGGTCTGTGCAGTCCCTCGATGTGTTATAACCCATCCTTTATCTGTACTCAGTGCCACTAATCCCCTTACTGATATTTGTTCCAATTAATTTTGTGTTCAAGTTCCTTCATTTCCCTTCTAGAATTAAGAAATTGTGTTCTAAGTGATAATGACCTCAGAGTATAACCAAAATGCAGATATGTGAATAAAACTAATTAAGAAGTCAAGCCATGTACGGTGGATCAGGCCTGTAATCCTAGCACTCTAGGAGGCCGAGGCGGGCGGATTGCTCGAAGTCAGGAGTTCGAAACCAGCCTGAGCAAGAGCAAGACCCCGTCTCTACCATAAATAGAAAGAAATTAATTGGCCAACTAATATATATAGAAAAAAAATTAGCCAGGCATGGTGGCGCATGCCTGTAGTCCCAGCTACTCGGGAGGCTGAGGCAGTAGGATTGCTTCAGCCCAGGAGTTTGAGGTGGCTGTGAGCTAGGGTGATGTCACGGCACTCACTCTAGCCTGGGCAACAAAGTGAGACTCTGTCTCCAAAAAAAAAAAAAAAAATCAAATAAGAAAGGTGAATAAATTTTTAGCAATGTTGGTTAATGCTTTAATTTGATTATGTAATATTTAATTTTATAACTTTTTTTAAAAACTTCTAAAATTTTTGAAAATATTTCCTGAAATTTTCTCACTTTCTAATCTCTGGTTTGAAACAATATTTATATTTTTGCAATTCTAGAATTTTTTGTTTCAGACAAAGAAACAGTCTCTCAAGAACAATACATTTCAGATGTCTAATAGTCTCCCTTATAGGAGTATGGAAACTCGCATTCTGAATAAGGCTTTTTGTTTACCTAGAAATTCATCTTCTCTTAAGGTATTGCCAGGCCAAAACTTAAAAACCACTTGCCTTAAAAACACTTGAGCATAAGTCAGTTAATTTGTCCTACTTTCATACAGTACTATGCATATAGCATGAGGGATTCAGAGTTCTAAGTAAGAAAGAGCACAAAACTACATTAAGGGTTGATAAGCAACTATTTAGTGGCCCTATATAGGTATGCACAATATATCTAGAATATCTCAACTGTAAGTTGCTGCAGTCAATATGAAAGATACAGAAACCTGGGCCAGGCATGGTGGCTCATACCTGTAATCCTAGTACTTTGGGAGGCTGAGGTGGGAGGATCACTTGAGGTCAGGATTTTAAGGAAAATACAAAAACTGCTTCTTACTATTCCAGCTGCTTCATTAAGAATCAAGTGCTATGCTGGGTAACAGACTTGAACATTAGGTGTAAAACTATTAGAATTCTAGAGGCCTGGCGTGGTGGCTCATGTTTGTAATCCTAGCACTCTGGGAGGCCGAGGCGGGCGGATTGCTCAAGGTCAGGAGTTCAGGACTAGCCTGAGGCCAGGCGCGGTGGCTCCCGCCTGTAATCCTAGCTCTCTGGGAGGCCCAGGTGGGCGGATTGCTCGAGGTCAGGAGTTTGAAACCAGCCTGAGCAAGAGCGAGACCCCGTCTCTACCATAAATAGAAAGAAATTAATTGGCCAACTAATATATATAGAAAAAATTAGCTGGGCATGGTGGCGCATGCCTGTAGTCCCAGCTACTTGGGAGGCTGAGGCAGAAGGATTGTTTGAGCCCAGGAGTTTGAGGTTGCTGTGAGCTAGGCTGACGCCAGGGCACTCACTCTAGCCTAGGCAACAAAGTGAGACTCTGTCTCAAAAAAAAACAAAAAAAAAACTAGCCTGAGCGAGGCCCCGTCTCTACTATAAAAATAGAAAGCAATTGGCCAACTAATATATATATATATATATATATAATTAGCCAGGCACTCACTCTAGCCTGGACAACAAAGCGAGACTCTGTCTCAAAAAAAAAAAAAAAAAAGAATTCTAGAGGAAAATGTTGTAAATACTATTCTAGACATTAGCCTAGGCAAAGAATTTATGAAGAAGACCCCAAAGGCAATCACAGTAGCAACAAAAGTAAATAAATGGGACCTGATCAAATTAAAAGCTTCTGCACAGCCAAAGAAACTGTCAAGAGAGCAAACAGACAACCCACAGGATGGGAGAAAATTTTTGCAAGCTACACATCCAATAAAGGGCTGATAACTAGAATCTATTTAGAACTCAGGAAAATCAGCAAGGAAAAAATCAAACAACCTATCAAAAAATGGGCAAGGACATGAACAGAAATTTCAAAGAAGACAGAATAAAGGCCAACAAACATATGAAAAAATGCTCAACATCTCTAATCATCAGGGAAATGTAAATCAAAACCGCAATGAGATATCCAGTAAGAATGGCCTCTAACAAAAAGTCCCCAAACAATAAATGTTGGCGTGGATGTGCGGAGAGATAGGAACACTCCTGCACTGCTAGTAGGACTGCAAACTGGTTCAGCCTCTATGGAATGCAATATCGAGATACCTTAAAACGATACAAGTAGATCTACCATTTGATCCAGCAATCCCACTACTGGGCATCTACCCAAAAGATCAAATGACACTCTACAAATGGGACACCTGCACTCGAATGTTTATAGCAGCACAGTTCACAATCGCAAAGGTGTGGAAACAACCCAGGTGCCCATCAATACATGGGTGGATTAATAAAATGTGGTATATATATATATATACCATGGAGTACTATTCAGCTTTAAGAAATAATGGTGATATAGCACCTCTTATATTTTCCTGGAGAGAGCTAGAACCCATTCTACTAAGTGAAGTATCTCAAGAATGGAAAAACAGGCCAGGCGAGGTGGCTCAAGCCTGTAATCCTAGCTCTCTGGGAGGCCGAGGCGGGCGGATTGCTCGAGTCAGGAGTTCAAAACCAGCCTGAGCAAGAGCAAGACCCTGTCTCTACTATAAATAGAAAGAAATAATTGGCAAACTAATATATATAGAAAAAAATTAGCTGGGCATGGTGGCACATGCCTGTGGTCCAGGTACTCGGGAGCTGAGGCAGTAGGATTGCTTAGCCCAGGAGTTTGAGGTTGCTGTGAGCTAGGGTGATGCCATGGCACTCACTCTAGCCTGGCAACAAAGTGAGACTCTGTTCAAAAAAAAAAAAAAAAAAAAAGAATAGAAAAACAAGCACCACATGTACTCACCAGCAAATTGGTATTAATGGATCAACACCTAAGTGGACATATAGGAATAACATTTATCGGGTGGTAGGAGGGGGGAGAGGGATGGGTATATATAAACATAATGAGTGAGATGTGCAACGTTTGGGGGATGGTCATGCTTGAAGTTCTGACTCGAGGGAGGAGGGGGTCATGGGCAATATACATAACCTTAACATTTGTACCCCCATAATATGCTGAAAATAAAAAATGGAAAAAGGAAAAAAGAATCAAATGGTAGCTATTGAAAAAGGTCACTAAAAATTTTTTTTTTCCCTTTCTGGACAATTAAGAAGGTATTTGTCTACTTTTGTGAATTTATTATTCTTGTATACACTCAAGACCTTTATTTTATTTGGTACATTTTTTCTATCCACATGTCTTGTTTGTCATGGTACAGAAGACTGAACTCAGAAAGAAACACAGGCTCCACTGGATTGGGGAAAACTTGATTGATAATTTCACTCCTTCACTTTAAAAACCTGGTATTTGCTTCCTGTTATCCTCAGAGATTTCAAAATTGGTACTACCTTTTTGTGTAGCTTTTATTTCTTGCAGTCTCCACTTCAAACTCCATGCCCAGGCCATATCAATTACTTCTGTTTTCTGAATGTGGTCTCATCTCTGCCATCCCTGAGCCTTTGCATCCCTAGCCTGTCCTGATGCCCTAATCATTTTCCCTTATCTCTACAACTGGTTTGCCTGACTTCTCACTCTTTAATATTCACCTTTCTGATAGAGATGCAGCCTCTGTCACCTTCTGCAATTAAATTTACTTGTCAGTAACTTCTCCCAGCCTACTTCCTTCCTTAGAAGACTATAAGCACTTAAGGACAGGCACAAGGTTGCCTTGCTAAGTATTATACCTTAGCCCCTATCACAGTGCAAGATCACTAATATCACTTTAAAAATATTTTGTTTGGCCTTTTGGCTTTGTAGGTGTAAAACAAGAAAACAAAAATATTTCTCCTATTCTCTAAATCCTTTTTAACCCATCAACTATTTGGATCTGAAAAAACCCACTGGGCATAGTGGTACCTTCAGATTTCTATGCGGTGGGACTTGAAGAACATGGTAAGAATAGGGACTAGGGTTTTTGTTTAGAAGGTGCATTTGCATGGCAAGAAAGCTACTTTATATATGTATGTTTTATGGGCTAGGGTTATGGAGATTACGGATAGGAAGATGTTAAAGCCCTGCAGGCCATGCCTTACCACAATAATGGGCAGATGTTAATACTTTCCAGGATCACCAGTGAGTTTTGGAACTCTATTATACTCTTTTTTTTTGAGACAGAGTCTCACTCTGTTCCTGGCTATAATGCTGTGGCATCAGCCTAGCTCACAGCAATCTCAAACTCCTGGGCCAGCAATCCTTCTGCTCAGCTCTCAAGTAGCTGGGACTACAGACATGTGCCACTATGCCTGGCTAATTTTTTTCTATATATTTTTAGTTGTCCAGTTAATTCTTTTATTTTTAGTAGAGACAGGATCTCACTCTTGCTCAGGCTGGTCTGGAACTCCTGAGCTCAAACGATTCTCCTGCCTCAGTTTCCCAGAGTGCTAGGATTACAGGCGTGAGCCACTGCGTCAGCCTATACTCTTTTCTTAAAAGGAAAGTTATTATTTATCTGCCTTTAATTCTAAGCTAGGTAACTCTTCAATTTGCTTCTTCGTCTCCAATATTAAAAAAACAATCTATGTTTATATCGAAAAATATATGTGAGGTTGGTACTAATTTACTGCAAAACACAGATGATTTTTGAATTAGCAGTATACTTTCGTGGATTTTACATAAACATACAAATTGCATTTGAAAAATCCTATGGCAACTAGCCCAGACCTCACACTCATTTCTAAAGTTCCCTTAAATTAAAATGATTTATCTCCATTAAACTACTCCCTTTATCACGTTTGTTTAAGTCACTCTTCATTAACATAACTTTGGACTAGTTTAAAGTCGTGAGAGGTAACTTTTTACTCCGACACTGAAGGCTACTAACTTTCTTTCTGCTTTAGCATTTAGTAGTCAGGTTTTATTATCTGTTCTGGAGCAGGTAGATGCACTTACCTATTGTGAGGTCGTGGACAGGCTGGAACCGTTTGTCTGTGAATGCAGGAGGAGACATGATTCCCCACACCTGAAGAGGAGGATGCGCGTTCTAGGAGTCACGCGGCCGGGAACCCCTTCTTGAGTCTGGACGTCCGGGACAGGTGTAGGAGACCTGAGCCCCGAGCCCGCCCGGCCCCACCGTCCGCCCCCCCCCCCGCTAGTCTCGAATCCCAGCCCACAAGTGGAGCCCGCCCCGCGACTCGATTTGGGAGCTTTGGATCCTGCCCCAGCTTGAAGGGCGGTCCACCGCGGTTACCTGTGTCCCCGATGATGATGTACTTGAAGAGATAAGCATAAGTCATGGTCCGAGTCCTCAGGATTCCGGTACGCCGACTTCTACAGCCCTTACCTCCGACCTCTCTACCACTCAATCTACCGAGCTCCTACTTTTTTTTTTTTCCCCTCTCGGCTCCTCTAGCCCAGATCACGGTTCTATTGCTCTCCCCAGAAATCCTCACTAGGTCCGGATACCCAACGGTTACCTCCAGGGACGCCTCTAGCACTTCTACGTGCCATTATCCCACCAAGCTCCAGGGGGGATAGCTAGCTTTTCCGTACTCTCGGCGCCTGACTCGCTGCAGCCCACGGTGCTCCTTCCAATCGGGAGAGCAACGCACGTCGTTGCGGAAGTGACGGCAGTTCCGTGTCCAGTGGGGAGGTGGGAGTGATGAGGAAACTGAGGCGGTGGGTAGCGGTTGTGTGAACCGATGGATGGTAGGAACCTGAGCGCTAAGAAAGCTGGCGAGGGAGCAGGGCCGACCGGGTTGAAGCAGAAGCGGGAAGCCGGGCGGAGAGGAAGCTGACGGAGAGGAGAGAGCGGAGTTTGGGGAGTGTTGTCAGAATGTAGGGGGTCAGAATCCGTCGCTGCAGGCTAACTCCGTGCTCCCTCTAACTTATCTCGCGGCTTTCTTTGATTTCTAGTTTCCCGGAGAAATGACAATTACCTGACGATCACTGGGCCCTCGCACCCTTCCTGTCAGGGGCGAGGTGAGCAACAGTTGCGGACGCTGCGGGGGAGGGCCTGAGGCGGTGGTGAGGAGGAGAGCGCGGACGCCAGGATTGGGGCTGGGAACCGAGGCCGCAAGTGGTGTTTAGAGACAAAGTGGCAGCTGCTTTTAGAGCCCTATGAGGACTATCTGGGAAGGTCGCGGAAGCCGCTGTCATCAAAAAAGTAGGGTGTTGGAAAGAGATAACCATATAAGGAGGAAGTGATTCTGATTAGACAGAGTAAATTGTCTCTTTTCGTTGGAATAAATAGCACAACAATCTTGGAAGGTTCGCTGGAAGAACATTTTTCAGTAGGCAAAGAAATTGGGGTAAGAGGAGAGAGGTTAATATCAGGGGGTTAATCGTGGACATGTGTTCATTCTTGAAACGAACTCTGTTGAAGGGGTCTTTTTTCATTTAAATTGCCTACTCTGATACAAATTTGTAGTTACGTCCACATACGTGGTGTCAGCATGTTTTGCTATTGACAGGAAGGAAATAGCTGCCAAAGAACATGAGAGTTGATAGCATAAATTTGTTTGCCAGTGACTCAGACTCTTGGGCAGATTACTTCATCTTTGTATGTCACAGTTTCCCCAGCTGTCATAGCTGTAATAATAGCTTCCTATGAGCTTTAAAGTAGAAGTAATGGTTATGGTGAGGTCCTTCATGAAAAGTTTGGTTGAAATATTGTCTAATATAGATATGTATCATTGTTTAGGCAAGGCAAGAGAAAGGTGGACCAGTCAAAAATTTCTCAAGTCTTTGAAAGTCTTGGACTTCTCCATCTTTTTGAGGATTTTAATATTTTTTCATAATTATGTGAAGCATTTGCATCAGTTTTTGTACCAGGAATTCTCAATTGCTGTTGAAGGGGCTTATCCTAATAATAAATCTAACATGTTCATGGATGAAAATTAAAATTAGATAGGCAAGTGACAGTTGCTAGTTTAACTTTTTCTTTTCATATATCGATAATCATGGGTGAGATAGTTTAACTTCTTTCTTTTCTTCTCTCTCTCTCTCTTTCCTTCCTTCCTTCCTTCCTCTCCTTCTCCTTCCTTCCTCTTCCTTCCTTCCTTCCTTCCTTCCTTCTTCTCTTTCTTCTCTTTCCTTCTCTTTCCTTTTCTTTCCTTTTCTTTCCTTCTTTCTTTCCTGAGACAAAGTCTCACTTTGTTGCCCAAGCTAGAGTGAGTGCCGTGGTGTCAGCCTAGCTCACAGCAACCTCGAACTCCTGGGCTCAAGCAATGCTCCTGCCTCAGCCTCCCGAGTAGCTGGGACTACAGACATGTGCCACCATGCCCAGCTAATTTTTTCTATATATTTTTAGTTGGTCAATTAATCTCTTTCTATTTTATGGTAGAGACGGGGTCTCACTCTTGCTCAGGCTACTTTCGAACTCTGATCCTGCCTCGGCCTCCCAGAGTGTTGGGATTACAGGCGTGAGCCACCGCCCCAGGCCTAACTTCTTAATTTCTATTACTTATTATTCTCCTAAGCAGGGGGAAGTGTGAATCAAATGAGCAGCAAACTTAGCAAATGAAATACAACTAAAATCTGTTTGGTGCTTTGCAGTCTCATTGCCACTTTCTTCTGAGTGAGATCTCCATGGTTTAATTTCATTATTTGGAATGTTCTAAATCTCACATTGGCCTCATTCACATGAAAGTACCGATATTTTATTTTATTTTATTTCATTTTATTTTAGACTGGGTCTCATTTTGTTACCTGGGCTAGAGTACAGTGGCATCATCATAGCTCACTGTAACCTCCAACTCCTGGGCTGAGTAATGCTCCTGCCAAGTAGCTAGTACTATAGGCATGGGCCACCACACGCAAAATTTTTCTATTTTTTGTATAGATGAGGTCTCACTATGTTGCTTAGGCTGATTTTGAACTTTAGGCCTCAAGCAATCCTTGTATTTTGGCCTTCCAAAGTGCTAGTGTTAATAGGAATGAGCCTGGCCACTGAAAGTGCCAGTTTCTTCTCAATCAGATATCCACCATTTAATTTTATTTTTTATTTTTAGTTTTTGTTTTTTTTTTGAGACAGAGGCTCGCTTTGTTGCCCAGACTAGAGTGAGTGCCGTGGCGTCAGCCTAGCTCACAGCAACCTCAAACTCCTGGGCTGAAGCAATCCTACTGCCTCAGCCTCCCGAGTATCTGGGACCACAGGCATGTGCTACCATGCCTGGCTAATTTTTCTATATAATACTTTAGTGCCAATTAATTTTTCTATTTAAGTAGAACGGGTCTGCTCTTCTCAGGCTGGTTTTGAACTCCTGAGCTCGAGCAATCTGCCCGCCTCAGCCTCCCAGAGTGCTAAGATTACAGGTGTGAGCCACTGCGCCAGGCCAGATCTCCGCTATTTAAATTCCATTATTTATAGTGCTGTAAATTTCCCATTGGTCTCATTCATTTGAAAGAACATTTTAAAATTCAATACAAGTAGATTTCAAATTTACCCACTATTTTTTTTTTTTAGACAGAGTCTCACTCTGTTGCCAGGGCTAGAGTGCTGTGGCATCAGCCTAGCTCACATCAACCTCAAACTCCTGGGCTCAAGCAATCTTCCTGCCTCAGCCTCCTGAGTAGCCGGGACTACAGACATGTGCCACCATGGTAATTTTTCTATATATTTTAGTTGGCCACTTAATTTCTTTCTATTTTTATAGAGACGGGTCTGTGCTCTTGCTCAGGCTAGTTTCTAACTCCTGACCTTGAGCGATCTGCCCCTCCTCGCCTACCCACTACCCACTATTCTTAATCCTCTACCTTTTATGAAGTTGAATAATCAAGGGGTAACCACATAAGAACTGGCTACTTTTTACATCAAGAAGCTTTCCAGGTTTGAGTCTGTTCTCTTTGGTTTCGTGACTTAAGAAATTTAATTTGGCCGGGCGCGGTGGCTCACGCCTGTAATCCTAGCACTCTGGGAGGCCAAGGTGGGCAGATTGCTTGAGGTCAGGAGTTCGAAACCAGCCTGAGCAAGAGCGAGACCCCCGTCCTACTATAATAGAAAGAATTAATTGGCCAACTAATATATAAGAAAAAAATTTAGCCGGCATGTGGCGCATGCCTGTGTCCCAGGTACTCAGGAGACTGAGGCAGTGGATTGGCTTCACCAGGAGTTTGAGGTTGCTGTGAGCTAGGCTGACGCCACGGCACTCACTCTAGCCTGGGCAACAAAGCGAGACTCTGTCTCAAAAAAAAAAGAAATTTAATTTTTTTTTCCTAAGAAGCTGATAGCTGAGCTGTATTCTCAGTTTCAATAGCTTCCTTTAGCTTAGGGCTTCCATCATTGTAAACAGTTCTTTTTCTCATTACAGCTTGTATGCCCTCTCTTTCACTCTTAGTGGTGATGGTAGTGGGTTTTTTTTAACTATTTTGTTGAGTTTATAGTTTTTATTGTATCTGATCTTACTGTGAACCATCCCAAAATGGAATCTTTCCACATATGGTTTTTTAGAGTAGTCCATGAGAGCACTCCAGATTGTTTATGAGGTGTAGTCACTTTGTAGAACACTGGTCTCTTGTTTTGGTTATGAATTTTTATTCTTTTTGAGTTCTCATTAACAAATAGTATCACTTTTCATATCTCAGCAGAGTCGCTGTTTTATTTGTTATAGTGAACAGAAAAGGATAGGCATCTTTTGCTTTGCTAAAGCAATCTGTATCTTAAAAATTTTGAAAACTATTATACAATTATTTATCTAGTACAGTAAATGTTTCTCTTGATCTTTTTTCCTGTCCCTATAACTTTTTTTGTTTGCATGAGAATTTGGTAAAAATCTTTGTACACTCTTCCTGAAAAAGCTCACATGAACTTAAGCTGGAATTTCACGAAGAGTCACGGACCTGAAGTTAAAAACTTCCGCACAGGCCAGGCATGGTGGCTCATGCCTGTAATCACACCTAGCACTCTGGGAGGCCAAGGCAGTGGGAGGATCACTCAAGGTCAGGAGTTGGAAACCAGCCTGAGCAAGAACAAGACCCCATCTCTACTAAAAATAGAAAGAAATTAGCTGGACAACTAAAAATACATGGAAAAAAGCCAGGCATGGTGGTGCATGCCTGTAGGCCCAGCTACTCTGGAGGCTGAGGCAGAGGATTGCTTGAGCCTAGGAGTTTGAGATTGCTGTGAGCTAGGCTGACGCCACGGCACTCTACCCTGGGCAACAAAGTGAGATTCTGTCTCACAAGAAAAAAAAACAAAAAACTTTTGCACAATAACAAATATTGTGTGTAGTGAGAAAAGCTCAATTCTTGGAAAGGTTCTAGTTTTTCCTATTAAGAATTGCTTGCTCTTATGTTCCATGTGTTACTCATTTATATCCCAGACAACTACAGTTAGGAATACACATACACACACATTCATATATACACACACACACACATATATATATAGTTTTCTTTTTGCCAGTGTGATTGAAAGAGATTGGACATTGCACAGGCATGCTTTTTTCTTCCTAGTTTCTACTAGCTAGAAATTTTCTGTCTGGCAATGTCTTCATTAAAATGCAGACTTAGGCCGGTGCGGTGGCTCACGCCTATAATTCTAGCACTCTGGGAGGTGGAGGTGGGAGGATCACTCAAGGTCAGGAGTTTGAAACCAGCCTGAGCAAGAGCAAGACCCCTGTCTCTACTAAAAATAGAAAGAAATTAGCCAAACAACTAAAAATAGAAAAAATTAGCTGCGCACAGTGGTGCATGCCTATAGTCCCAGCTACCTGGGAGGCTGAGGCAGGAGGATCGCTTGAGCCCAGGAGTTTGAGGTTGCTGTGAGCTAGGCTGACACCATGGCACTCTAGCCTGGGCAACAGAGTGAGACTCAGTCTCAAAAATAAAATATGGATCTAGAAAAACCTTGATGAACTCTTTAAAGAATGAATGTATTGCCTAATCATGAAAAAAAAATTGAGTACCTACTGAATTTCATCTGAATCAGTTGATATTTATCTTTAGATGGGGCAGGTAGCAAGTTAATAATCATCAGGATATTAATATTAGTAATTACTAGTCGTTGTTAAGCAAGTATATGTATCAGGCAATGTAATAAGCTTTTATGCACTAACTCCCATTTATCCTCATAATAATCATGTAAGGGATTACCATTATAATTCCCATTTTATAGATGATGAAAACCTACTCAAAGTCATATAGAAAGTGGCAGAGCTGGGACTTGTACCCAGGTCTCTCTGACACCAAATTTTCTTCCTATTATTTATAATGCTCTATTGCTTCAGTTAGCTCCATTTTAGTTTTTTAGTGTCAAAAAAAGAACCATAGTTATTAACAGATCAGACATAGATCCATGAGTGGTGGCTGCATTCAAAATAGAAAGAGTATGTTATTATTGACATAATTGAACTCAGAGGGGAAGGGATTAGGTCTTTAGCCAGCTAGAGTAATCTTTTTTTTTTTAGCAGTTAGCAAGGATATTTATCAGCTAGAGTAATCTTTTTCTTCCTCTCTTACAGAAAATGCTTGGTGAGATCAAGACTAGGAATGTGTTCTGGAACTGTTAGAGAACCAGTTTGCTTTTTGGCTCTAGGAAGGTTTTGCTCCTCACTATTATCCTTATCTTGGCATTGTTGAAGTTTCTGAAAATCCTGTACAAATGGGAATCTTATTTCTTGTTAATATTATAATTGCTAAACTGAATAGGACGTAGGAAGTTCTAACTATAAGTATGTTAGAGATGGATAAGTTTCCCATGAGATTGTACCTTTTCTTTGTTTCAAAAGAACCTAAAATATAATTGGCTGGATGACAGTGAATTTCTGTGGTCTAATAGTTCAGGTATTACAATTGTGACATAGGTCAGGCACGGTGGCTCACACTATAATCCTTGAACTCTGGGAGGCCGAGGAGGAGGGTGGATCGCTCAAGGTCAGGAGTTTGAAACCAGCCTGAGCAAGAGTAAGACCTTGTCTCTACTAAAAATAGAAATAAATTAATTGGCCAACTAAAAACATATAGAATAAAATTAGCCAGGCATGGTGGGCCATGCCTGTAGTCCCAGCTACTCGGGAGGCTGAGGCAGGAGGATTGCTTGAGCCAGGGAGTTTGAGGTTGCTATGAGCTAGGCTAATGCCACAGCACTCTAGCCCAGGCAACAGAGTAAGGACTCTTTCTCAAAAAAAAAAAAAAAATGATAATTGTGAAATAACTGCTACCTATTAGAATCTATAGAGAAATTTCAAGCATCATAGCTAAACAGGTTATGAAGACTGGGTCTGAACTAATGGTATGAAAAGAATTTCTCATTACAATAATAGGTAGAATAATTTAGGACAACTGAGATGGTAAAGAGATAATAGAATTGAAAATTGTGTTTGCTGTTGGCAGCCAGTATTTGCCAATGGCCAAGGGTATGAGGAAGAGGTTAAAATTAAATAGGTCCTAATAAATCAATAACAAAATAGGATCCTAAGCTGAAAAGAGGTGCACTGAAAATTCCCAGTACCATCAGTGTTTTTCACTTAGTGCTATTCAGTTTCTCCTCTTCCCACTAATTTTTTCCCTTTTTTCCTTACAGACATTCCATACTCCAAGCTTGGGTGATGAGGAATTTGAAATCCCACCTATCTCCTTGGATTCTGATCCCTCACTGGCTGTCTCGGATGTGGTTGGCCACTTTGATGACCTGGCAGACCCTTCCTCCTCACAGGATGGCAGTTTTTCAGCCCAATATGGGGTCCAGACATTGGACATGCCTGTGGGCATGACCCATGGCTTGATGGAGCAGGGCGGGGGGCTCCTGAGTGGGGGCTTGACCATGGTAAGGGGCAAGATATTATCAGGTTCACCTAAGCTTATGGGCATGGTGTTAGGGGAGATAAAAGTTACTGTCTATTCCCCATTACATTTGAGTATTACTTTTTTTCCATTCTTGCTAACAGCTCACCAACAAAGACTTAATTTCACCTAAATAAATGAGATTTACCATTGGGTCAGTGGTAAACTGTCCATTTACCCTAAAGTGAAAATTTTTTTGTGTGATTTTTGGTAAAAGAGTTTTTCCCCTTTTATTATGGACTTCAGATCCTAGGATTCAAATGTGTATGATAGTTTGCACATTGAAGGATTTATTTAAAAACAGTCTGAACCAAACTTAGTACTAATTGTGGATTGGTATGAGATATAAACTAGTGTATTGGGCTTCTAGTACATCTCTTCCATAGCACATATCCATACTCTGTATTTGCTGTCAAACATCTCTAACATTGGCCCCATTTGCTCTGATTGCCTATGTATTACAAGTTTAAGAGTTGTTGTTTTGGGAAGGTACATACAGATGGGAACTAGTATGTCATCACTACTTACAGATTGCTGAAAAAGTTATTTGCTCTTTAAATTGTCCAAAGTTGTTATGACTTCTCTGATTATTTTTAGTTATTTCAAAATAGGCCGTTGAGTGCAAAGAAGTAAATTTACTAATTTCTGTACTTTTTGCTCTTTTTTCCCCCCACCATATACAACCTAAAGATCTGTACTTTTTTAAAAAGCTTCGTATGTTTTATATGTAGACAAATTGATGTTTCATGGAGTTTAAACTGATACAGTCTGGGTAAGCAAGGAATTTATAAGCTGGCCTGAATTCAGGGAGGAAAAAGTGGTATTTTTTATATTTTGTTTAATTAGTCCTCTGCTTCTCTCAGGACTTGGACCATTCTATAGGAACTCAGTATAGCGCCAACCCACCTGTTACAATTGATGTTCCAATGACAGACATAACATCTGGCTTGATGGGGCATAGCCAGTTGACCACCATTGATCAGTCAGAATTGAGTTCTCAACTTGGTTTGAGCTTAGGCGGCGGCACCATCCTACCACCTGCCCAGTCACCTGAGGATCGTCTTTCAACCACCCCTTCACCTACTAGTTCACTTCACGAGGATGGTGTTGAGGAGTTCCGGAGGGTGAGGGATTCCCTGCCAAAATCAATTCTGCTATGATATTCTAGGATAAAAGTCTTAGCATATAGAGCCTAATCAGTATTCTTTACTCCTGCCCTGCCATCTCCTCTGCTCTTTTCTGGGTATGGGTTTCCACCTCTCAATTTCCAGTTTATAATGCTCCTTCCAATCCCCATTCTTATTGGTCCTTACATACTTTACAAAATGTCTTTTAATCCTATTGCCACTATTTTTAGCATTTCTGAAAATTCTATACATGTGACTAGTTTCCTCCCATATAAATGTCCTCTTCTTGCAGTTCTCTAGTCATAGTACTTCCCTTCTTCCATCTTGTAATTCCCTTTCTTTTCTCCCCTACAGCAAGTTCCCAGCCAGAAGACAGTGGTGGTGGAAGCAGGAAAAAAGCAGAAAGCCCCAAAGAAAAGAAAAAAGAAAGATCCGAATGAACCTCAGAAACCAGTTTCAGCATATGCTTTATTCTTCCGTGATACACAGGCTGCCATCAAGGGACAGAATCCCAATGCCACTTTTGGAGAGGTTTCAAAAATTGTGGCCTCCATGTGGGACAGTCTTGGAGAGGAGCAAAAGCAGGTAAGCAAATACTGAGGAACTTGTAGATAGTGAATGTTCCAGAAGTTTTTAAGGGGATAAAAACTAGACCTTCATCAAACTTGGTTACATGTCCTTATCGAATGTCATCTCTGTTAGTGACGTTCATACATTATCCTTGTCCTAGAAAGCTTATTTAAAAATTATTAATAATTATTAAAAAATATTTAATCTGTCCAATAGCTCTGTAAAATAGCTACCATCTCCACCTTTTTACTGAAGGTGGAAACGGGCCCACTGCCCACTTTAGGTCATATAACTTTGAAGTGGTAAAGCTGAGAGACAATCTAGGTTCTTTAACTCCAAATCCCTTGCGCTTTCCACTAATGATGTGTCCCTTATAATTCCTCATGTTATCTTCAACTGTTCAACTTTTAGATATTTAATTTTTCTACGTTTCATTTTTTCCCCATTTGTAAAATTAGGCTAGTCCTAATAATATTCCTGTAGCTAACCCTAAAATCCACTAGTAAGCTTACATTTAGAATTTAATTTAGCATTTTCTCATTGGCCTAGTTTAAACTTGGGAACTGTAGTTAATCCCCCTAAATTTAATCTAGACTTTAAAAGTAGATGAAACTGGCCGGGCGCGGTGGCTCACGCCTGTAATCCTAGCTCTCTGGGAGGCCCAGGCGGGCGGATTGCTCGAGGTCAGGAGTTCAAAACCAGCCTGAGCAAGAGCGAGACCCCGTCTCTACTATAAATAGAAAGAAATTAATTGGCCAACTAATATATATACAAAAAATTAGCCGGCATGGTGGCGCAATGCCTGTAGTCCCAGCTACTTGGGAGGCTGAGGCAGGAGGATTGCTTGAGCCAGGAGTTTGAGGTTGCTGTGAGCTAGGCTGACGCCATGGCACTCACTCTAGCCTGGCCAACAAAGTGAGACTCTGTCTCAAAAAAAAAAAAAAAAAAAAAAAAGTAGATGAAACTGTGATACTGTACAAATATACAATTGAAACTGAAGACCCTGTATCCCCAGGTCTTATGTCATAGTGAGTCCTCCATTTAATATTTGAAACAAATAGCTGAATTTATTGTAGATAACTTGTATCAGTTATCTATTGCTGCTCAACAAACCACCACAAATTTAATGGCTTAAAACAACAGCAATTTATTATTAGGTTACTAAGTATGAAATGTCCAGTTTTCTTAAGTACTAAGTATGACAGTTGATATCTGACATTTCAGTTATGAAGGTACATCCTCAGTCTTTCAAATGCATATTTTGGCTTGTGATTATCTTTCATTTTTTTTTTTTTTTTTTTTGAGACAGAGTCTCCCTGTGTTGCCTAGGCTAGAGTGAGTGCCGTGGCGTCAGCCTAGCTCACAGTAACCTCAAACTCCTGGGCTCAAGCACTCCTACTGTCTCAGACTCCGT